CAGGTTGCGTGAACAGGGTTCTTCTTCTTAAAGCCCGCGGAAATCAAAAAAAATGATGTGGGACCGTTCTCACCTTGGAAGTTCTTTCAAGAAATTCCTGATAGATATCTCATACTCGAGTTTGTCGGACCATTCATCTGTCGGTACTTGCCGCTCGAAAGGTTTACTTTTGTCGGACAAAGCGGGACGATTTCTTTCCCCGAAGCCCAGATTTCCGATTCCACTCGTCTCGAGTTGTCGAAATTAATACTTACGTGGCAGACAATGTGAGGATTGTCGTCAGCGACGAGATTCGAGGCTCAGGATCCCGGAAAATTTTGAGCCAAAAAAATAAAAAATCAAAATAAGGTGGAGGGGAAGCGAGTGGGTTTTCAGAAACTCTGCTCAAGATCTGCCCGCCAGTAAGTAAGAAATGGACGTCTTCGGGCTCGATGGAGCAACCCGCTCATATTCCTCTAACACTCCTCGTTATGGTTGAACTCTGAATATGGTGAAAGGTCGCTCTAAGCTTCGACTAGAGCGATTTTTTGGCTGCGCCAGATGGCAGAAGATATCCTTTCGTTGATTTGATTCCAGAAGGACACGTTGGCCCCATCAGAAATTGGAAAGATAGTGATTTCGGTCCCCCGTCTCCAGCTAATCCGACAGCCCATAGTTGAACTTAGCCATAACAACACAGACGTAGCCGCTGATGGTGTATGATATATGGTGCTTTTGGGAGAAGTACCAGGCCTGCCCTCCCGGACCCGTTCTGGCTCGAACCAGATACACTCAGCGGAGGGACACATACTAGCATGCATAATATACACACCCACTCAGCAGCTACCTATCTCGTCCATGCTGCGCTCCTCTTTTCTTTTCTTTTCTTTTTTTTTTTTTTTAACGTAAAAGTCCTCACTCAACGCCTTTTTAGCCCATTAAGTGAATGACGCTATCTAGTTACACAGCTCTTTGCATACGGTGACCTGTTTAACCCTCATTTCGCCTGTGAACGGGGGACAGATTTCTTTATGAAACTATCCAACGTTGCGAAGTTTTATTATTGTATTGTTCCGGACCAAGGCTTGTGGTTGTTTCCGGACTCGGGGGTGTAAAAAAAAAAAAAAAAAAAAAAAAAAGCCGCAGTTTATCTTTGCGTAGCGTTCCATCGTATTTGTGGTTGATGGCCCACATTGGGGGGCTGTATCATTTGTGTGCTCTTGGGGGCAGGGCAATCTTTGAATACGAAGGCGCCAATGATGGAATTACAGCAATAATAGACTCACTCGCCTCTGGAAATTCCATTCACCTAGTTCAAACGTGCTAGAATGGTGATGCTGGAACAGCCATGCACTTCTATTAATAAACTGCCTCTTTGAACTCGTTAAAATATAAGGATGTCCGCGTAAAAATATATAGATCTAGTTATAGCCCCTCATACGAAAGGCAAAAATAAAACCTCGACCCGGACATTCCATATATAAAAGCCGGTTTTTTGTCACGATATGTATGTAAGAAGGGAAGATATTCATTTTTTCTTTCTTTTTTTTTTGGGAAACTAAGATAACTTATTATTTCTATCCTCTATGATACAAAAAGTTGGAAGCTTATTTGAAGACGCCCGTGAGAAGAACATAGCCAACAGGAAAGTGAAGAAGAAAGGAAAGGAATGCCAATAAAAGTGTGGACCTGGAAAAAAACAGGAAAAATAAAAGAATCTGCGAATGAGAGGTCATAATATGCACTGGCCAAGTGAGGTTGGCATTTTGCCTAAGGGTCTCCAGAGACTAGGATGACATATCCTGAAATTATAATGATCTCCTCACAAAGATAGTGAAAGATTTATGAATAGAATATGGAATTTGGAAAGAAAAGGAAATAACAATCAAGGTAAAAAAAGGAAAGAAAAGGAAAGAAAAGAGGAGAAAAATTAGAACGAAAACGCAAATATCCAATTGCATGAATAGGAGGAGTGAAACTTCAGAAGAGAGAGTTGCTGGAGCAGCCAGGCCAAGGCGTGTAATAACCTGGGGGACTGGAATGGCATTTAGAGTGATATATATCGACAGTGCCATATCCAAATGCTCTCTCATTATTTCATTGTTGAAATTTGGTGTTTGCTTGGTGCCACACCACGAAATGGAAGGTGCGCAATTGAGCAAGAGAAGGGTCAGAAAATACATAACAATGAAAGTTGAAACCATCAAGGCAGTTAACCAAAAAAATCTCTTATTTCTCTCTCGGTGCTTCTCATTAGCCTATCTTACAGGTGCCAAAATTTGGGGCGAGCACTGGCAAAGAGACGAGATTCAAAAATGCATTGAAGGGATAAGTTAAAAATAATATGGGAGAAAGAGAAGAAATGGGTATCAGTTCATTTAAACGTGTGTTTCAGGTTTCTCCAAGATGTAGGTAATGGGGTTGTCGCCCGAGCAGTGGACAGGCCATTGGATCCAGATTGGGCGTTCCCCCTAATAGCCAGCATTGAAAGTCGGTCCTTTTCTTCCCTGATTGCGGTCCTACGGGCGGCACGAAGCTCCTCGACGCGGGCTTGGGTCAGCCTGAATCGCCGTGTGAAACACTCGTCTACCAGAGCACTCGCATCTATAAGTTTTTTTGGTGCAGATTGCACCACCTGGAAAATCTCCATCGGGTCGCTGAGACTGAGTATTTCCTTTTCGCTGCTCTTGAAAATTGCCAAAGCGACTCTGAAAAAGGTTCTAGACCCCTTCATAGAAGAAAACATCCCATACGCGCAGCGTCGGTTTTCTCATTTTCTCAATGTGTACTGCCGATGTACAGAGACATTAACCAGATACCTTGCGTGTTCAGGTACAGTAATGTCGGGCAGTCGTGTT